CAGCTTTCCTGGTCACTCAGGAAGGGAATACAAGTTTATTCTCACTAGCTAGTCACTCTCCTTGAAACCTCTCCTAACTCCTGCAAATGCAGATTCTCAACACTTTTTAAATAGCTTCTATCACCATATAGCATCAAAATGCTCTCAAAAGCATAGCAGGCATCATATTGGGCCTAGTTAAAATCAAAGCCTCCAGAAAACTCATTTTAAGACCACATCAATGCTATTGACATAGGGTTAAATGTAAAATTGCCTGTTATTTCATTTAAATCTAATTATTAATTAGCATAACTTTTTGACCAAAAATACTTGTTTTACAAAAACAACTCCCAGAGCCTTTTTTGAAATGCTCTCAATCGAGGCATCAGACTATTGAGGTAGGTGACTCCATCATTTGTCATCCACAATTGTGAAAGTGCAAAAGTCTCTGGCCCAGTAAAAAGGAACAAGTGCTGTCTGAACATCAATCCTCAACAGCGTCATTCCCTTGCATTCCAGTACAGTTTCTTAAATAAGTGAGGAAATGGTAGCCTCATTCACCTTGAGGGAATATGCCTATACCTATTATTAATATATCATTAATGGTAGACATGATTTTAAATTTATTTCTCAGCAGAAACAAGGAGAGAAAAAGTAAAAAAGGGACTGTAAAATTGGAGAGATCTCTGGTTGCATATCCTACTTGTGCATGCCATCTGCTACCTGGACCATGACAAAAAACAACTGATTAAAACAGTGAGCTGTTTTTGTACTTTGAAAACATGCTCCATCGTAGAGGAGCCACATATATTTTTTCATGGCTTTTCAAAAGTCTATACCTTCAGAAAGCAGGTGAGCTTATGTGGGACTTAATGAAATTGTTTATAGTTTTGAATATATTGGGGGCATAGAAGGTAGCTCTGAACAGATTCCTAAGAGCTGTCAGTTCAACAGAAAGAGCTTCACTAAATAAGTTGCTCTAACTTATCCAGAAAGCAATACAGAGCTATTCTCTAAGTAGGAACTATTCATATAAATACATATGGCATTTACACACATTTCAAATGCTATGCTTGGTTTATACTAGCCTGGGTTGAGGTCACAAAAGAGAAAGTCCTCAACCAGGGTGGATCAAAGGTCAATGTTGAACAAACATGAAACAAATCATGCCCAAAGTCTGGAATCTCTGTGAAAGTGTGAAATGGATGAAAGATTCATGTCACCTCAACTCTTGGCCAGGCATTCTTTGCATTCGCTTTCTAAAAAGTCCATTTTGATAACGAGCTAGAGTTGAAAGATACCCCCAGCTTATGGTACTTCCAAGGTGAAAATGAAAAATTCTGATAAAGCCCATAGCCTTGAGGAAAATTTCAAGTGGCTTAGTGCCTTGGTTTTCTCTTATTTCACCCACTCATTATCAGACATAATTGAAGGACAGAGTCTGCCCTTTGCTCTATAGGCCAAATTCTATTCTCAGTGGAGACCACAGCTGGTGACTTGAGTATTTTGCTATTCATTTATCTGCGTAGCCCTCGATTTAATGGACTCACAATCTGCAAAGCACATTCAATGGAAGAAATCTGTACATCAGCTGATGGGGTGTGTGGGTGTGCACGAATTACGCAAAGCAAAAAGTTTCTCTCTGCAGACGATGAGCCGAATGATCCCCATTCCTTTGCAGAAAGTTTTCTTATTTTTTCTCTTTACTCCTCTTTCTTTTCATAGCTTGAATAATATTTAGCTGAGATTCCAGGTGCTTCTTGGTTTTCAGTAAGAGTCAACCGGTGTGAGGAAGGGTCACATGCTCAAGGCCAAGGCATCACTTATGAGATCTCTGCCCCTCCTGATATATATTTACCTTATTGCTATGGGTGCCTTGTCAATGGCCCTGATTTCAGAGTAGGGCCTCATAAAGCTGGCAACGTTAAGACCAAAATAATGTCATTTAGTGTCTAGGGGGAGGTTAAAAAGAGGATTAGAGGCAGGCAGGCAGGCAGGGTGTATTAAACGAGTCCATGACTAACAGGGTGTGACAGAAAAGGGTTTTATTCTTTTCAACAAAACAGTTCCCTAGGGCTGGGACCATTACTCTACCGTGCCTTTATCACCTTGGAATTTTTATGGTTATTTTTGATGAATTCACATTTTTGTAAAGGCTTTTTTGAAATGATGCCAGTTTTCAATTTTTAATTAAAGTCGTAAATAATCTTAATTCTGCCTTAAAAGGTTTATTGTTTCTTTCTTTTTTTTTTATTATTGCTGCCAGGAAATATTTCAAATACCAAGTCTTGATGTGAGTGAGCAATTAGAATCTCTCCAAGGTCTAGTAACGACATTGTGCCATGTAAACACTGCACACTGGTATATCAGCACAAGATCTGGAGTGTGGACTGATTGATCTCAGTTTTATTAGCAACTGTTTCTGGGAGTGACACTTCCTCATTTTTTTGGATGGAGAAACTTCATCATTTGCTTTCCACAAATTAATTTATTGTAGATTCATAAAGGATTGTTTCAAATCTTCAGATAAAATGGCAGATTAAAATTTGGAAAGGAAATACCTTAAATTTGTCACTTAAAGGTTGGGCAATGAAAGTCAACCAAACCCAAGCAGACCATGTGCAGGAAACAAGCGTGAATATCAATATCATTTTACATAAGACAAAATTAAGAGAACATTGCCATATTTGACATGAGATCATAATACTACTCCTAAGTGCACCCTTATTATCTAGATTGCCTGCAAATTATCAATAAAACTATATTTAGTAGTCTCAAAGTCTGTTTTTCTTTTTTTCAGTTAGTGCTTCAAGCACCTTTCACATCATCAAAACTATTCGAATCTCTTCATTAAGAAATGAAAGCACACCAGGTTTGAACAATAGCAGTCATTAGCAATTCTTAAAAATGTTATTTCTATACCTGTCTACCTGGCTTTCAGGTTAAACTGAACATCATATTGTTGCTTCTTTGTCTAGATAGGGGACTTATATTTGTTCATGTCCCTGACAACTGTGACTCTCAAAAGAACTCTCCAAACTTATGACACATTTTCTGTTATGAGGGAACCTCATACATGTAGGACAACTTAGAGGCAGTGAGTAGTCTGACTTAGGGGAAAGAAACCTTTCATCTAGGAGAGTTGTTTTCTTTCTTTTATTTTTACAGATACAATTTTTTATTTTGAATGTATAAGATGTACATGGATAATAACAAATGCCAATAGACAATGGTCCTGCCAAAAGTATTTATAGTATCCAACAATGGTGTGTTAAGACTGAGCATCCCTCCACAGTATCAATTCATTTAGCAATTCATTCGCTTTTCTAAACTATACGAATTTATCCAGTCCACACCAGGTGATCACAGATCCCAATTTTCTGGAATTCCAATGAAAGAGATTTAACATTGACTTGTAAGAGTGGGTTTGTATGTAATTAAGAATATCAAAACTCTCTAACAGAGCATTTTTCTAACTCCCAGACAAAAGGTTAAATTCCTTCCATATATGAGCCCTTGGTTGGCATTGCATTAACACCTCTCAAGGAAGAAAAAAATGCAAGTAACAAATGCACTACAGAGCATTTTTCAACATGAAAACATTAAATCCCTATAAACCATAAAAGAATGCAAGATTTTTAACTACGAGTCATGGTGACCTGAAAACCCTTGCCATGGGGTTCAATTACTTAAATACGCTGAATCTTAAACTGCCTTAAAATTTATTATGAAGGGCCCTTAAGTGAACCAGGTACCCATTTCAAAATACAAATAAAACACTCTAAAAGCCAAGGTGAGCTCAACATGTTTTCTACCAGGGACAGAAGATACTCGATCCAAAATTTTAAGACAGTTTATTAGGAAATGCTTTGGCAAATAGAAAACTCCCTGTATCTAAAGGTGTGGGAGTACAGATTGGACAACCACCTGCTGGTGGTCTTAGGCATTTAGGAGTACAAGTCACCTGCTGGAGGGTCTTTGACATTTCTTCAAATCTGAAATATTGTATTGTTATTAATTTTTAAAAATGCATTAATCCCTCAGTGATGTCAAAGTACTTTTAGATTCAATTTCTTCTTCAGATTTTCATAAACAGTTTGTATAAAAAAAAATCAGCCTTTTCTCTAAGCTTAATATTAGGAATGCTCCATACTCATCCTAGAGATTCACTAGCCTTCTTCATTAAGGCTAAAATGATTTTAGCCGATTAGTATTTTATGAAAAAGCATTCTCTCTAGAAAAGTATTTTGTTGTTATTGTTGTTTTTCTTAATTCAATTTTCTTTAGCTTTCTGGGCTTATTTCCATTAAAGCCTTTTGTTATTTTCTGGTTTAGGTGACTTATAAGATTTCTCTCTCTTTTTTTAAAAGAATTATCTTATTTAATTTTACTTATTCATTCATTTATTTTAACTTGATCAGAGAGAGACAGAGAAAGAGAGAGGGGAAAGTGAGAAAGCAAACCACCAGGTCTGAGACTTGAACCTTAGTAAGCATTCTCTCTAGAAAAGTATTTTGTTGTTATTGTTGTTTTTCTTAATTCAATTTTCTTTAGCTTTCTGGGCTTATTTCCATTAAAGCCTTTTGTTATTTTCTGGTTTAGGTGACTTATAAGATTTCTCTCTCTTTTTTTAAAAGAATTATCTTATTTAATTTTACTTATTCATTCATTTATTTTAACTTGATCAGAGAGAGACAGAGAAAGAGAGAGGGGAAAGTGAGAAAGCAAACCACCAGGTCTGAGACTTGAACCTTAGTTGGCCATGTAGGAGTATCCAGTGCCTTAACCGTCACATCACCTTCTCTTCTATAAGCCTTCCCCAGAAAGTCTTATCTGGCTATATCAGCTATGAAAACCATAACCTTGCTATTACTTCATGGAAGACTTCCCTCCTTAAACAGGCTACAGCATGTTATACCTTGAGAAATAAAAGAATTTTCAATACCCTGCAGAATCTCCAAGTACTGCAAGAGTAATTTAAGTGTGCTTTTCCTGGCTAGAAACTTCTCTTGTAAAATTACCTTTTTCCTTGCTTGTTGATCTTTGGAAGAATGTGCCTTCACATGCTTTCTTAAGGAACTTGGGTCTGTGTAGCGTTTGGTACATCCTGGAATTTGACAAGCATAAGGTTTCTAAATAAGAAAGAAAGAAAGAAACAGCTGTGGTTAAATCATAAGGTAACTGGGGAAGGTTTTACTCAAAGACGATTGATTTCAGAGCTGACTAGTGTAAAATGCTGGATAATACTCATGCATTTTAATTAGAAAGTCCAGTAACTTTACCTCCTGGTAATGGGAAGTGTAAACTTTCAAGAAACAAAGAGACAGCCTATCCTTGATGATTTTTAAGAGATTACCTTCAAATACACTCTGACCATGAGATCTCTTGTGGCATTTTTTAATGTGGAAATTAGTAAGTATCTCCCGTCATACTTACAGTTACGTTTCCCTGAGAACAATCTTTGGTATTGTCAGAAATTAGTAAATACATATTCTTTAAGGGTCAGGTAAAGAAGCTGTAGAAAAGTCCAGAAAAGACTGGGTATATTTCGGAAGTAACCTGATTTAGAAAGAGAGAGGGAGAGAATCAAGAAGGGAAAATTAGCATAAAGTGGGCAAGAGACAGTAGATTTCAAACAGATACATGAAAAATCAGCAAGAGAAACATTAATATTATTAGTTGCAGAGGAGTCTTGGTGCTAACCAGAGTTATGTGAATAAGGCCTTGGTTGAATGCAGTAAGGAGACACATTTTTGGTTAATCCAATTCCCCCATGGTCCTGGGAGATATGAGGTGAGAAGCCTAATGCTGAGTCTAGGATTGTTTTATTTTTGTATCCCTGGGGCTTGGTACATAATAGGAACAAATGAATGAATGAGTGAGAACACCTCACACCTATTCAAATTTCAGCACTGACACCTACTTAAATGACAACATTTGTATCAAGGGTTTGAGACTATGACTCTTCAGTTGCAAGATAAATCAAAACCTTCTGCTTATTATAAGAACTGGAGGGGGGGGAAATAAAATCACAGGATTAAATGTATTAATAAGACATATTAGCAGTCAAGGATCTACTTAGCACCTCATCACATGAGATATCAGAGTGGTACATAAATGATAAAAATGTAAAGAGGAGAAGTGAAACCCTGTCTGTAAAAGAGGACTTTTGCTCTAGAAACCTCTTATGTAATTGACTAAACACACACACACACACACACACACACACACACACACACACAGACACACACACACGTGTATGTGCATTTGCATTTGCTCCATTGGCATGTGAATTTTGTGGCCTAATGTACATGTGTATTCTATTATTTGCCCTGCTGGAAGCCATATTTATGATTCAAACTCTCCCTTTTTAGGTATTTTTTTTATTTTAATAACAAGGTAAAATCATGAACATATAACTTAACTTGACACACACAATTTGAATTCTAAGTGTAATGTGTTTGTTCATTGACTGACTGACTGATGGATTGAACCACCCAACAGCTGATGATGAATTGAACCACCCACCAGAATGTGTTGGGCACGGTGTTACATATGAGGGGAGATCAAAGCCTTTACGGAAAATGAAATTAAAGTACAAGTTTATTTTAGGGCAAAAACTTTTTTGAACTCCATGCATAGCTTTTTTTCATAATACACATTTTCCTAAACTTTTAAAAGGTCTAACAGATCTAACACTGAATATTGCATGGACTAGGTCCTCATGATCTCACAATTTTTACAAAATAGTGATCCAGTTACTGGCTCACATTACTTGCTGATGAGTTTCAATGGGGAAGCAAAGATTTTCTGTAGACGGGATCTTTTCAGAGTTCATGTGGCTTTTTAACACTAGCCTTCCCTACCCTGGCCTGTCTTTAGGAGAGCAATTAGCCAATGCCTTTCCTGGCAGTCACACTGTGACCACATTGGCTCACAGTATGAGCATTACAGCATATGCTGCAAGTAAAAGGCTTTGGGAATATTAACATGTCATATAAATTGATGTGCTCTTATTACAGTGGTCACCATGATTTGAGTTGATAATGTCATTTTGTATTTGAATTTAAAAGTTCTCGGAGAAACCTTGAATATGTACCATTCTTCCTAGCTAGCCTTCACTTCTCTCATTGGGACCAGTTTACCAAAATAGTGAAGTCAAGGAATAGTCTAAGTAGTACTGTTGAAGTTGCCACTTTGTCTCAGAGTACGCTTGAAATGGCATACTATGCTTCATCAACCTAGATATTTCATTATTTTTCATCTATAATGTATAATTACTTCCCTTGTTTAGATATTAAGATGCTAATAGAGAAATCAATGAATAAAACTTTCTAGGATAGAATTATAAAGCCAAAAATGGGAAAACTACTTTCCCATGAGGAAAAAAAAAGAAACTGCTCAGTCGAAGAAAGATACTTTATCCAAAATTCTAACAACCTTAAGTATAAGGACTGCTTAGTGAAAGGGAGTAAGAACCTAAATTTAAATCATAAATTCTTCCAGCAACTACAGTTTGCTTTTAAAACAAGTGTTTAATTTCTGTATTATTTTAAAAGAGATTACTAATACGTTAAATCTAGTGAAAATTTAAACAGGAGCAAGTTTAGAAATTAAAGGAAAAATGATGATTTTAAAAGATTTAATAAAGAAATAATATTTTCCTAAAAACAAAACAAAAGAGCTGAGTTTTAAAAGCTATTGCATTAAATTATTTTCTTAGGTAGTTTTCCTCAGAAGTTTTTATTTATTTATTTTTTTTCAGAGGTTTTTGCCTTAGGGCACATGTGCTCGCCAGACAGAGACAGAGAGACAGAAAGCGAGAAAGCACCCCCCAGGAGGGATGGCCACGCCACAATCAGTTCTCCTCCATTCTCCTCTTGGGATCTTGGGCACACATGCCTGGTGTGAGTTTAAGCCGCTGGGTCCAGGACTCGAACCGCAGTCGACTACATGGGAGTCCAGCGACAGCCATTATGCTAACTGCTGGTCCCTCCTCAGAAGTTTTTAAAAGAGACATGTGTTTTTTAAATTCAAAAGTGATTTTTTAAAATGTTCTTCATTTGATTAGTTAAAATTAGCTACAAGCAAAGAAGGGTATTGTAGAACCATAACACTTAGTCTCACAATAGTTCTTTCAAACTACAGATAACTAGCTAGAGTAGAAGCAATTTCTTAAGACAATCTTGTCTCATGAATGTTCATTCTTCCATGATAAAGTTTAATGACAAATTGGAAAATGTATTGGATTCTACCAAGACTATTTAGATACAACAAAATAGGACATTTTAACATAATTTATTCTTTTTTTTGGTTTTCTACTTTAAAAAAAAACCCTATTGTTCACCAAATTTATTCATGTAATATTCAATTCTATTGATCCTAAAAATCATTGAATTTGATTCAGCTAACACCAAAAGGGATTATCCTATACCTACATTGCTCTAATTATATTTTGAATATGTACTAGACAAACCATCAGATTTATGTATATTAGGAGATAATTCTGTTTAGAAAGGTTATGTGACATATAGGTAAAATAACTTCTAGCAATATGACTAATGGAGACTAATATAAAATTTAATAAATATGTCAACTATAACATCAGAAGAAATCTTAAATATGTATGAGAAGGTGTGTAGAAATAACAGTATCTTTTCAAAATTCAAACTCTGATGTAGTTTAATAATAGGCATCAGAATGTTAACACTGAAAAAGTACTGTCATGAATACATTATTTGCAAGAACGTGGGATAAAAGATCTGTGATGTGTATAATACATTTATCCTGATGGTTTTGTTAAGTGAAGTGAAATTACATACAGTCTACTTGGACTCATGTAAGGAAAATGGCATTGAAACCTGAGAAACGCAAAGGAGGGCTATCAACATAATTGAGAAAATAAGAGACAAGAGTCCTAGAAAAGGCATTTGCAACTGAGCAAAACGTGGCAGTGTAAGGGAGTTAAAGGTATAATAATGAAAATCAATTGTTCTCACAGGGTTGATGTCAAAGAATATGTGGCTGTTAACACATAGGAAGCATGATGAAACTGAACTCTTGGGAGAAATTTGCTGTTCCTTTCTAGATCGCTTGAAGGTGAAAATTCCAGGTGGCTTTTAAAGTGAAAGGCCAGATTCACTATGAAAAACCATGCCAACTGTGGAGCTCTTTGATGAGAAGAAAAAGAGTCAGATGAAACACACACACACATACTTTCTCTCTCTCTCTTCATTTTTCTAGAAACAGCATACGTGATCTATTTTGATGTGTCTTGATACTCAAACACTTATTTTACTGCCCAATTGCTAGTGATAATTTTCTCTGTACTATAGTTTACTACAGAACAGCTCCCCAGTTGCTTTTTTGCTTTGTGCATGAAGGTGACCAAGCAACCTGGTTGTCCCAGGAAGTGGTAATATTTAGGAAAACCTGAAACTAGAAAAATGAAACAGTCATACAGGGCCCCTTCCAGCTCTGCCCCAGGGTCTCTAACACTGCTCATCCCTGTAACTTGCAGACCATTAAGCAAACACTTTCACCCTCTCGCTATCAAACTGGCACTTCCTCAGGCTGGGGCTTTGGGCTGGAAGTTGGAAACTCCTGTCATTCTTACAGTGTCCAGATGTGTCCTCTGATGTTTGGCGCGGTCGCTGGAGTTACTGAATGCCTTCTGACAGCCTGGATGCTGGCACAAATACGGTTTCTCGCCTGTGTGGCTTCGCAAGTGAATCTTGAGATTTTCAAGCCTTGAAAAGGCCTTCTTGCAACCTTCAAACTGCAAAAAGAAAGTAATTTGGGGTTGTTAAGAAGGACCTTGAATGAGTCTGGGGCATAAAAAACAAAAACAAAAACAAAAGCAAAGTCCTTAGTTTGTACTTAGCCTAAAACAATAAAATAAACTGAAATCCAAACAGTAACACATACTTCTAAAAATACCCATGTGTTTATGGGAATTGCATTTTTCCACTGAATATACATGCCACTTTCCGTACCAGATCTGGGTCCCAAACTGATTTCTGTGATTACTTATGTCAGAGAAAATTTGCTGCGAGCCATCTGGCTCAGTTAATAAAAATACAGTAATGTGTATCTTAAAGATTTATTAAAAAGTTAACACACTTTTCCATTTCCAAATTGGTCTAAATTGAAGGAACCAGGAAGGAAGAAACTTTCTGACAACTAATGAACTAACAAAAAAATCAGATGTATGAGAAAAAAGGAGAATTAAAGACCCAAGAACTGAGGATAAAAAATGCATGTGTCTATTGGATTGACATGATCAGAAACTCCCTTGACTATATTTGTACGAATTTTTGAACTCCTAAGAGAGTGTCAATAGGGTGATACCAAGCCTAATGGAATAACATTTTTAGCATGCTTTTAAAAAGAAACGGTGGGTAGGGGGGACCAGCAGTTAGCGTAATGGCTATGTCGCTGGACTCCCACGTAGTCAACCGCGGTTCATGTCCTGGACCCAGTGGCTTAAAACTCATGCCGGGCGTGTGTGCATGTGTGCCCAAGATCCCAAGAGGAAAATGGAGGAGAAGGGATTGCGGCGTGGCCATCCCCCCAGGGGGGTGATTTCTCGCTGTCTCTCTCTGTCTGTCTGGCGAGTGCATGTGCCCAAAAATAAATAAGTAAATAAAATAAAAACCTCTCCCAGAAAAAAGAAAAAAAAAGTGGGAACACAGATCATTCATTTAGCGCTAAATCATTTTCAAAATAAATTAATAGTATGTCTTAAATTTTAAAAGAAATTTTGTTATCTAACCCATGAAGAGAGCAATTAAACATAAGAGTGAAGATCTTAATAAATGCAACATCCATTTGTCAACATTTATTTTTTTGAGAGTTTTTCTTTCTTTCTTTTTTTTTTGGCTATAGGGCACATGCACTTGCCAAAGAGATAGAGACAGAGACAGACAGAGATAGAAAGCGAGAAATCAAACCCCAGGAGGGATGGTCATGCCAATCCCTTCTCCTCTATTCCTCTCTTGGAATCTTGGGCACAAATGCATGTGCAACTGGCGTGAAGTTTAAGCTCCCGGGAATCGGACTCAAACCAGGTTGATTATGTGGGAGTCCAACAACGTAACCATTATGCCATCTGCTGGTCCCCATCAACATTTTTTTAAATTTTATTTATTCATCACTTATTTTAATTTGACCAGAGAGAGACACACAGAGAGAGGGAAAGTGAGAAAGCAGGCCAGCAGTACCAGGACTCAAACTGTGGTCAGCCATGGGGGAGTGTCCAGCACCTTAACCACCATGCCACCTGCTGGTCCCTCTGTCAACATCTTTTGATGGTAACATTTACTTAATGTTTTCAGTAGGCAAAATATCATGTTTATCATACTAGCAATATCAAATATTTTAGAGTCAAAGTGATTACAATCCGGGAAGTGAGAGTCTAATACAGAAGGTGTGTTAGAGAAAGCCTATAAATCAAGCATAGAAGTGAGATGGGGATTTATCTTTTAACTCTTTTCTTGGTGTTAAGCCCCAGTTTGAATCCTGTTTGAGTTCCCACAAGAAGGGAAACTTAGAAATATGGGAAACCAGGACAAGCAATTGGCGTAATGGCTATGTCACTGGACTCCCATGTAGTCAACCGCGGTTTGGGTCCCAGACACGGTGGCTTAAACTCATGCTGGGTGCATGAGCTTGCATGCCCAGGATCCCAAGAAGAGAATGCAGGAGAGAGGATTACAACATGGCTCTCCCCCCTGGGGAGTGTGATTTCTCGCTTTCTGTCTCTCTATCTCTCTCTATCTAGAGGAAAATGGAGGAGAAGGGATTGCGGCGTGGCCATCCCCCCAGGGGGGTGATTTCTCGCTGTCTCTCTCTGTCTGTCTGGCGAGTGCATGTGCCCAAAAATAAATAAGTAAATAAAATAAAAACCTCTCCCAGAAAAAAGAAAAAAAAAGTGGGAACACAGATCATTCATTTAGCGCTAAATCATTTTCAAAATAAATTAATAGTATGTCTTAAATTTTAAAAGAAATTTTGTTATCTAACCCATGAAGAGAGCAATTAAACATAAGAGTGAAGATCTTAATAAATGCAACATCCATTTGTCAACATTTATTTTTTTGAGAGTTTTTCTTTCTTTCTTTTTTTTTTGGCTATAGGGCACATGCACTTGCCAAAGAGATAGAGACAGAGACAGACAGAGATAGAAAGCGAGAAATCAAACCCCAGGAGGGATGGTCATGCCAATCCCTTCTCCTCTATTCCTCTCTTGGAATCTTGGGCACAAATGCATGTGCAACTGGCGTGAAGTTTAAGCTCCCGGGAATCGGACTCAAACCAGGTTGATTATGTGGGAGTCCAACAACGTAACCATTATGCCATCTGCTGGTCCCCATCAACATTTTTTTAAATTTTATTTATTCATCACTTATTTTAATTTGACCAGAGAGAGACACACAGAGAGAGGGAAAGTGAGAAAGCAGGCCAGCAGTACCAGGACTCAAACTGTGGTCAGCCATGGGGGAGTGTCCAGCACCTTAACCACCATGCCACCTGCTGGTCCCTCTGTCAACATCTTTTGATGGTAACATTTACTTAATGTTTTCAGTAGGCAAAATATCATGTTTATCATACTAGCAATATCAAATATTTTAGAGTCAAAGTGATTACAATCCGGGAAGTGAGAGTCTAATACAGAAGGTGTGTTAGAGAAAGCCTATAAATCAAGCATAGAAGTGAGATGGGGATTTATCTTTTAACTCTTTTCTTGGTGTTAAGCCCCAGTTTGAATCCTGTTTGAGTTCCCACAAGAAGGGAAACTTAGAAATATGGGAAACCAGGACAAGCAATTGGCGTAATGGCTATGTCACTGGACTCCCATGTAGTCAACCGCGGTTTGGGTCCCAGACACGGTGGCTTAAACTCATGCTGGGTGCATGAGCTTGCATGCCCAGGATCCCAAGAAGAGAATGCAGGAGAGAGGATTACAACATGGCTCTCCCCCCTGGGGAGTGTGATTTCTCGCTTTCTGTCTCTCTATCTCTCTCTATCTTTCTGGCAAGTGCACACCTGTCTTTCTGATGAGTGCATAGCAAAAACCTCTCAAAAAATATATATATGGGAAACGTACTAGAACAAAGGATAATATGTTGAAGCAACCAAGAAACCTTACTTCTTAGAGAGAAATGTAGGTGGTGGGGTAGGATAGACAGGACAGGCTATAACTTAAGAAGTTAAGTTCAGAACAGTTTTCATTCAAAATTAGGTGTAACTGTGCTGCAAGAAATTTAATAAAAACTCCTTGGTTCTCTAACTTAGGACAATAGATGAGGGAGGTCATTGTTCATGAAGAGATGATCCACAGCCAGGTTCTTGGTAGTTGGAATTTTCATCCATCAGTAAAGGATGAACTAAGTAGACAGAATAATCAAACATGTCATAACTCCATCTATTTAAGTTGTCCAGATTTTGCATGCTGGTGTATTTTAAGAAATTTATGAAAGTTGTACTTATTTTTGATTGAGAGTTATACATGTTTCACAGACATATGTTGGTTTATTTCAATTTTGATATTTTGCTTAAAATAATTTTGGTGTTTTCCTGATTTCTATTTCACATAAAAATAAATTTAGCCTGAACAGAAGACGAATGCTGACGAAGCCAACTACTTTTTCAGCAAAGTGAAAGGCATATAATGCCATGTTGCTAGAGGGAGAGTGAAGTTAAGGGGCTCATTTCTACAGTTTTCAAGTGGGTTTCAAGTTTGAGAACAAAGGGCTCAAAATTACCACCCCCCCACCCTGCACACACCACCTAATTTCCAGCAAAGGGTCTCTGCCAACCAAATGCCTGTTTTTAAGGTTGTTTTTGCGTGAGGACTCAGAGCAAACTCCTGAAACTCAGTTTATTTTACTTGGAACCACCCAGTGGACCACACTTAGGTCTGAAATGAGCTTGTGGTTTCGGACATGCCAAGCCTGAAGCCCAGTTCCTAGCTGGAGCCAGCTAGGGATGCATACCCAGACTCGGCCAGGCCTCAGCATCCACTCCCTCCTATGGCCATCTCAGATCTTTGTCAGAGAGAAAGCTGCATTGTTACGGTACCAGGATGGGAATGGAGAGCTACTTTAGAATAGACTGATGAAGGTTCTGTGAATATTGGTCAAACTGGACCTCTGGTTCTACCACAGAGTGATTAGAGGTATCATAGACTTGTGTTAGACTACGTCAAACTGTCCATGGGATCAGGCACAAACTGTAGACTAGCCTTGTAAGGCCTCTGCAGTTAAATGTCCACTTACATGTCAGTTAAAACTCAACTGATTGGGGACTGGCAGGTGGCATAGTGGTTAAGGTTCTGGACTCCCATATGGCCGACTGTGGTTCGAGTCCTGAACCTGAAGGCTTGCCATCTCTCTCTCTCTCTCTTTCTCGTGAGTATATGTGCCCTATAGCAAATTTTAAAAAAATTATCATCATAATAAATAAAATTAAATAAATAATTCTTAAAAAAATCCCACCTCAATAGATCACTGTTATTACTATCAACAAAAGCAATAATCAAAGGTCAAAGGGCTCACTGCATTCTAAGAAAATCAGTGAAAAATAAACATCTCAGAATATTCTGACCATTTTTTAAATAACAAAGAAGGAGGAAAATATGAGCATCCAAACTGAAAATGACAACAAAAGGATTATCTCTAAAATAATGAAAATCCAACTGATAACAGATATTTCCTCTATAACAAAAAAAGGTCAGAAGACAACAGAGTAATATTACAGTATTTTCAGAGGAAAAGA